TGGAAAAGCGAAAGGTCGTAAATTAAACGGCAAATGGACAAAATAGCACGGTGACGTTGAGCGCGCGCTCACGGGCAAAACTAACACACACACACACACACACACACACACACCGACACACACACACACAGACAGGTGCCGTTACAGAGGGGCCAGCGTCATGACGGTGCAGGATTTAATTCGATTCTGTGATAATGGTCGGGCAGGAGCCACGCTCTGGAAGCTCTGGAAGCTGCGCGCGTCACTCCAGCGTAGCGCCAGAGCCGCTGTCATTGACTGAGGCCAGGCGCGAGTCACTCAACCTGCTGCAGCAAAGACGATTAGGAAATGTATTATATATTTTAATCGAGGCAGGATCTGAGAAAAGAAGATGAACGCCGTCATGTGTCCAAACAATTTAAAATGATGAACAAGTCCAATTTCATACATTTTTGCAGAGGAATTAACCGTTTTGCGGCAGCAATAAAGACGTCAGTTTGTGTACCGCGCACCTTGAAATTTTTCAAAAAAAAGAAACGGTCCGAAAAACAAACAACAAAAAACAGGGAAACACGAGCAACTGTACACTGCCGTCTGTAAAGACAAAACAACACAGTGTTGCGGGTTTGCCTACCCGAGCTGCCCGTAAGTCGCCCTAGCCCCTTGGGTATGTAAACCCGCAACACTGGGGAGTACATTAGCCTTTACACTCGGTATAGCTGGGTGGTGGTGGTGGTTATATTTCCAATCCGTAAATGGAGCCTGCCTGGCCAGAGCAATCACCTATGCCATCAGGCACATCAGGACGGCGCTCAGTGTGCTGCACGTTGACGCCCCGGCGGGGTGTGGCGTGGCGTGGCGTGGCCGTTTGATGCTGCGCATGGTCCGGCGCTGTGCAGCATCACCCCCCTCCCTCCCCCACCCCTCACTTCCCCCCTCATCCGTCCCGTCGCCGCTCGACCCTCCACACCCCGGCGAGACTGGACCCGCGCGCCGCGCCCACCTCCAGAGAGCGATCAGGAGAGATCACCCTTCTCCCCTCCCCTCCTCCCCTGACGTGCCGCGCCCTCCAGAAAGGCTATTCCATTTCGCTCTACCCCCCGGGGCGTCTCGAATGCTCAGTCAGGTGACTAAATAAAGTTGGTGTTCCTCTCCCGCACGCCGCGCCCGAGGTAGGTAAATAGGGGCGGGGTGGGCGACGCGCGCGCCAGGGGAGGAACACCCCGCCCCGCCCCGCCCCGCCCCCGCCGTGATCGGAAACGGCCTCGGCCGATCGAGAGCTGCGGGTTGGGGGAGGAGGGGGTTAAGTGCTCATGCACCCCCGGTCCGCACCAATCAAGGTGGGAGGGGAGGGGGAGGGGAGGACCGTTTGAACCATCTGTCGATGCATGGTGTACGGCACGGGCGGGCTGCGCGCGAGCCAAGGTGGGAGGGGGGGGGGGGGGTCGGGGGTGGAATCAAATCACATCAGTGTGCCGCCGCCGGTAACTTGGCAAATGTTC